ATGCAACGGTATGGGCCATGTACCTCCTCCACTCCTCTTAAGCCTCTGCAGTTAATGTGCCTTGGTATCATAAAAAAATATGTAACCACAACAAAGGTTGTTTTTGCAGTTTTTGCAGCTTGTTAAGATCACAGAATTGAACTTTTGTCCTCATGATGAAGAGCGAACCTTTGCTGAGCATTTATTTATTTGTTCAGCTTTGGCAAAATAATCTCTGAGAAAACTGAAAACAGTCTTCTTTACTTATGATCTCCCTGGCCTTCTCCAACATTGCTTAGTTGTATTTTTTATGACAGTTTGCTCTTCACAAGAGACACATTTTACTAATCTATTTTTCCTCATGCCCATTTAACAGTAGGCTACAACATGTGTTAAAGTGATTTTATTTTATATTGGTATATTTAACAATGATTCTGTTCACAAATATGACTATGTTCTAAAGTAAGCCAGGAATATATGTGCATGTCCTCGCAGTGTGTGTGCTCTCTTTATGTGTGTCCCCTCTTCCTCATGTGACTAGGTGATACAGCTCCTCTGGGAGGAAAGATGAGTACAGGAAGGAGCGAAAGGAGGCTTCACGGCTGCTTTAGTGTTTACATCCTGCCCTCTTACTGTGTTCTCTAGTTATCTTCCACTCCTTCTCAATGACCCAGACTCCTCTCTTTCCTCCCTACATTCTAGTACTGGATGAATCACCAAACTTGGCTTCAGACGTCACAAGACACATTATCTCCGTCTCACTCTGTCTGTTAATAGAATAAGAAATCCCACAGCCTCCTGCCCTCTCTGTAATCACTTGTCCAGACAGTGGCAATGGTTCAATAAGACTATTGACAATTCTCTGCTTGAGAACAAGTGGATAGTCAATTAGAAAACGTTTCAAACCCACAGTCTGAAGCTTAAATCATGCAGTCTGCTACTTGGCTGCCTCTCTCTCCATCACTCTCTCTGTCCTTTTCTCTCCAGATACTTGTGATTGATGCCCTGGGACCTAATCATTGAATAGCAAATCCCACTCCAATTTTCTGGCATTAAGGACATAAAATGGCCACTTCAATTCCTCCCCGGGCCATAATACAACTGAATTTGGAAAAGGAGAGCAATTTTGATGAGGCTGTCTGAAAATACTCCATCATCCTTGAGAATATTAAAGGCAAGTATCTAAGAGACACTCGCTGAGAGTAAAAAGCCTTTCATGTATCTGTGGAAAAATGCATAGAAGAGAATGAAGGGAAAGTTGCTGCTTTGCTAAAAACTTTTACTCAGAAAAAATTTGCAAGAAGGAAAAGGTAGTGTCTTTGGTGGATTTTTGACATTTGAACAGCAATGAGATGTAAACTCAGGCAGGTTATCAGTGTGTGCTGAGCCCTGCTGCTTTACAGAGACATTTAAAAGCTGCATACACCCTGTTCTTTCCAATCTAAACACTGTTGCTGTCCTGCCAGAGACTGTGACGGGCAGTGCTTTGTTAGGACAGTAGTCAAAGTGGAAATATGTCTCATGAACTACTGATGTGTGATGCTGAAGGTTTTCTTTCGCCCTGAATAAAAGCAGTGAATGGGAATTTTATTTTTGCAGACATTATTTTAGCGTTTGTTAAGAGCAGTGTTTTTTTTTACACTGATTAAAAAATAAGAAAAGATGCTACCTCTGTATGTGGATTTACAACAACCTGCACTGCTGTGTTAATGTCATCCATCCCTGTTGCTATTTTTCTGTTGCTATATAGCCAGGTAGCTAACTAGCTATGCAGGAAGGTGACGTCCCCAGACATAATCCTACCAGCGAAGCTCAGTTTGGTCAAATGTTTCTCCACTTGGTGGAACAGCTGTCAATGAACACAGCGTCGGTTCTCCATGAATAAATCCAAGCTTTCTTTTACTTCTGTACTCTGAACTTTAAGCCAGCATTTCACCGGACAGACAGTGAAAACAAAACGTCCAAATCATGCTGTTGGCACATTCCAATTTGTGTCTGAAGAATGTGATGTTCACTTTTTGACTTGCTGCTCTCGTCCACTTTCTCACTTTGTCCAAAATGATAAAAGACTACATTTAAAAGACGACAGCACTAAAAACTTCTCAGACAGTTGAACTTCTCTATCAGCTGGTTCTGAAAAGCCACTACCTGATTTTATATCAATATTTCATGCATCTATTAGCATTTGTGAAACACATCAGGAGAGGTTGTGCTTCCTGTCTAAACATTGCAACACTGCCGGATGGAATAACAGTGGCTCCATAATCATATGGAGAGATTTTACATAAAGAGCCGAGCACTTACTCGGTGGAGAGATACACACCCACAGCAGGGGATTGGGAATTGACGGATTGGTTATTGTCAGGGGTCTTGAAACTGAGCCGTAAGATAAAGGTCCCTCCCAAAGCATTTACATCATAGTGATATACAGACTGATAAGAGGGGATCAACTGAGGACAGACAGAAACACATTACATCGATCGACAGAAGGGAGCAGGAGGAGGGACAAATAAAGCACTGTTACCCGGCCAGAATCTCACTCTAATCCGTTCACCCTTTTTAATTCTCTCTCCAAAGCATATTCTTTGACTCCACCTCTCACAGACATATCCTGTTTTTGTTATCTTTCTTTATCTTCCACGTATTCTATCACTCCTTTCACACTCCTCACCCAAACCGAGGCAGGCAGAAGAGTAGGATGAATGATGAGTGGACGAAGAAATGTTGGCCCACTGCAGCACAAAGCAGACAGAGACAAACAGCAGGGCCATGTAAATTAAAGATGACAGCTGTTCTGCTGCTCCTGCCTGGGCAGGCTAGCCGGACTGTGCGGATGGAGATCAGTAGCAAAAAACACCCAAGACTTGTTTGAAACTCAGGAGCATGTGGAGAGAAAAGCAGATGGATCTGCCATCCTTTATACAAGAATTACACAACCCACAATGTCCTCACAGCGAATGGAGATGTCTAACAGAACCATACAAACACAAACACCTAAAGCCTCGGTTATACTTTCCATAAGTACGAACATGACCTGACGTGGAAACGTTATACTCTGTGTCCGGTTTCTCCCTGTGGCAAAATGACCCCCCGCGAATGGCCGTGTCTGATGGTGTGATGTCCCTTTGACTGTGTGGACACTCGCTACCCTCCCGGATGAGGCAAGCATAAATCACGCTTAAGTTGTCCTTACGTTCCACAATGCCCTCACAAGGCATGACGATGTCTGACACAACTGTTTAAACAGCCCTACACATAGACACAGCAGTATAACGATTCACAAAACTCTCCTTTTTTGATACATTCTTGTCAGGAAGAATCAATACAGTACAACAATGGTGTGTGTATGTGTGTAAAGGTTGGGCGTGCGAGGAGTTTGTGGAAGTGCACTGGCCCCTGAGGACAGCTCCATCACTGCTACTCTGTTTACCTGAGGGATTTACAAGCAGGAAAGTCCAATTTCCCGTCAATATCTCAAATGCAATTGTGATACTTCACATAAACACAATCTGTTTGCATTCAGCAACACCTGTACTGTGTCTCTGCTTCTGCTGCCCGAATGTCTGCTTGCTTTCTGTATTCTGCTGGATATCTGGTTCTTTCGTGGTGAACCTTGTCACTGCTGTCAGTGTATAGAAAATAAAACGACAGTAGCATCTGACACCACTTTCCGTTTTACCTATAGGCTAATTCTTAAAGATTTGTCCTATCATATGATACCACCCAGTCATGCAGGTTTACTGCCCCCAATGAATCAGACCCAGGGACTCTATCCAATCCTGTCCATCTGTGTTCCTATGACTGTCACCGACTATTGGACTCCTCCTGGCAGGGAGCCTTCTCAACTTATCAAGCATTCTGTAACCGGCGTTCTCCTCTTCCTCCTCCCTAGATTTTCCAGTATCACACTTGCACTTGATCCTTTGGCTGCCTGTGACTGCTCATATCAAAATCAATACAGAGGCGCTGCTGTTGACGACTTCTCAACAGCTGTTGAACAGATGTGTAGAGTTTTCTTGCAGCAGCCAGTCTTTGCATATCACTCATTTCATATACTATTTCTTATTTAAAGGCACCTTGGAATAAAATGCGTAACCTTAAGGATAGAATATTTGCCTGCAAGGGAAAATGTATATGTAATTAGAAAACCAATTGTAAATGAACAGAGGGTATGCTGCAGTAGGATTTTAATGTAGTTAGAAGGGCACAGAAGACTCAAGACTAAATGTGTGCAAAATTCAGAGAAAGCCGTATCGTTATGGTGGATGAGTTCAGTACTATTGTATGTGCATGTGACTTTGTGTGTGTGTGTGTGTGTGTGTATAGGCACGTGACTGCCAGTGCATGTATGTGTGTGCTTTTACGTGTACAAATTCGTGCGACTGTGAGTATGTCTACTGATACACACTTTTTGTGTGTGCACGTCTTTTGTGCGAGATAAAGTAAGCCCATTTCATTA